CTCCCTCTCCCACTCCTGCTGACAATAATCTTTTGGCGACCGGGGAACTTGAACTTAGCATGGCGAAGAGCCTCCTGAGCATGGTGACCGTGGTTGTCCTTGCAACGAACAGACAAGAGCACCTGTCCGATCGCAACTCGGGCACAAACGCCCTGTGGCTTTCCAAAGGCACCCCTCATACCGGTCTGGAGCCTATCAGCCCCAGCACACGAAAGCATCTTGTTGATCCTCAGCACATGGAACGGGTGAACCCTAACACGCAAATGGAATGCATCCTTTCCAGCAGACTTGACCATGTATTTGTTGCAAGCAATACGGGCTGCTTCCAAGGCTTCGCTCGACACGTTTTCCTTCTCCCACGAAACCAAATGGACACAGAAGGGGAATTCGTCGACACCCTTCCTCTTCATCCCGACATCGTAGATCCTGATCTTGGGGTCAGGAACACCACGGCAGAACCGTGATTTCGGGTAAGGCTTGCCCTTGATCTGGCGGTAGCATCTTGCCGGTCCTGCAATCAAATAACATTTACCCATATTGTAAATTCTTTAAAAGGTCGAAGTTCAATTTCTTTTAAGCCGAGCCAATCTCATACAAGCATTAATAGCTAGAATCATCCATACACAACATAAATTCATCTGGCTATGAAATCATTAATTCCAAATCGGAGAACAGAAATCTCCATACATTTCATACAATCAAAGATGGATGAAATTTTCTCCCGCAAAAGACTACACGATTTCTACGTGCATTTCCCGAATGATAACAAGCTATTCCGCATCGAGAGTCCAAATGGAGTAATCCAATGTCACAACAAGACGAAATTCTAAGGTATAAACGAGCCGAGAATCTACCATAGTTTCAAATCCAAAAGGAATGAAAATTTCACTCGAGACACCATGAACAACGGTCGGTTAAATCAAATCACGAGGGAATCACGGAGATCAATTCCTCCATGAAAGGATAAACATCGATTCAAAAGAAGAGGAAAAAAGCCACAACTTACTTCGTCCCATGGCGACGACTCCCCTTTGCCTTCTCGGCTGTAAAAACACGGCTTTATTCAAGACAATAAGAAGAACCCTAGATGGCAGCATATCTGATGCGTTTTATACGACGATAATCAGGAATTTGCTTTTTTTTTTTTAATTTAAAAAAAGGTACAACGGAATGATTGTGAAAAGGCCCAATAAAAAGCCCATAATAAATGGGTCTAAAAAATGAAAAAAGTGGAGATGCGGGGTATCGATCCCCGTACCTCTCGCATGCTAAGCGAGCGCTCTACCATCTGAGCTACATCCCCTTGGATCCTTGTTTCGAATTATCCAATTACTTTCATCGATATTCCACAAATCGCATTGAGCGAGGGATGACGTTTTCCTTTGTTTATCCAAATTCCGACAACAAAAGGAAGATCTTGCAAAATCTAAAAGCTAAGGCTGTTCATGTTCAATCAGGATGCGATCTCCAATGTCTGAAAATGTCTTGACATCTTTGCCCCACAACCTGATCAAGTGGAAGAGGCATTCAGTTTGAAGGATTTCGGGAGGAAACTGAAAGAAAAAAAAACAGAGTGTGGTAACTCACCAGCAAGCTATACCAATGGCATTTGCCCCGACCTTGTCTGCTTCTTCATCGTCTCCTACATGCACAGCTCCACCTGCTTCTACACCGATTTGTTCTACCATTCAGAAGAAGATAATGTTCAGAGTTTTCGACCTTTTTTCCTCGTTGAGGGTATTCAGCGAAACATTTCTTGTTATGGCGCAAACCTAATGCAGCTTTGAAGATCCCTTCATCCGGTTTCTCGTATCCGACCTCTGAGGATATCATCACAGCATCAAACCTGCAGATGTTGAACAAAAATTCTTTTAAAGAAAAAACTGAAGACGGGCCAGGCGAAATTATCCGAAAATCAGGTATCTGCAGACAACTGGTTTTTTTTGGTATTTCAAATCTATATTCGAATATGCATATGTACACAAATCCGAATCCAGATCCGGCTAATATAATTTTTAAAATGGATACCCGAATATTTTTGCTATAGACCATCATATACCTACATATTTAGAAATGTCATTGTTTTGGACCTCATTTTTCAACATTTTTTCATAGATAGTGTACACACTTTATCCATATAACATTATTGTTTATTGTTAATAAACTCGGATCCATGTACTTCTGAGTACCCGGAAATTGTCTCGGATACCCATAACCCTCGAATTTGGGTACAAATCTTAAAATGAAAAACCCGAGCCTTTTAGATACAAATCCAAATAATCTTATTATACCGGAAATCCGACCTGTGCCCGCCCCTACTGAATACAAGATGGGCTAATAACTAAACAGGATAGGTGATAGTTGAGACAGTCAGGAGCTGAAAGAGCAAAATTCGTAAAGACAGAGATGAATGAAGCTTACAAATCTATGACATCAAGATCCTTCAGCAGCTTCCTAAGTCGAGTGTCGAAGTTGGACACAACAGCCATTTTCACTGCGCTCAATCATTCAACCATGCCAAATAGAAGATCAGCAAGGAAAAAAAAATACAAACTCCACAGACAAGGAGAGTACTTCAAGGATGTTATGTAATAACCTCCGGCATCCTTCAGAAGCGACATTGTCTCGTAAGCTCCTTCTGGAAGATGCCATGCCTCACCATTCGCATAATACTGAAGAGACGAAACAAAAAGCTTCTTACTTTGAGAAATAATAATAGTACAAACAAAAACCAAAAACCAAAAACCAAGCTTTCTTCCATTATCTGCATGATATACCGAGGGAGAATACAGAAACTAAGATATGTTATTGTTCCTCTTAATGGGTACAAATCAATCTCTCACCTCGTAGACTTCTTCAAAGAAGTCATTATCACAACAACCAGTTGCTTCTGAAACAACAAGCTTCCAGAATGGTCTTCCATCTCCCTGACATAATGTTCTGTAAGTAAATTAGAAATTCGAGATCCAAAAACATACGCGTTAGAAATGATTGTTTAACTACAGTTGGAGACAAGTCTTTGTCCTTATTTTCTTCTGTTGGTGGACAGGAATAAGACTACTAGAGAGCGGAAACACAACAGCATTTCAGTAAATCTCTCGATCTTAATCGCGATTTATTTCTGACCCTTTTCGTTCATACACATGCCTTGGCATAGGGTTCTTATAGAGTTAGGTAGTTATCAAGGTAGATCCCCTCACCATAACCCTTTTCACGGGTGCTGATAAACCTTCATGCTCCAATACAAACTCTCCAGAAATACTCGCAAAATGAAATAAAGATCGAATTCGGTATAACAAACGACCTGATACCGCAACTTCTCAGGCCAAGGAGAAGCAAAAGCTCTCTTGAATCCTTGCTTGATCTCAGCCGGAGTTGTCTTGAGACCTGAACAAAAACCAATCAACTTCACAAAACCAAGAAATGAAGTGTTTAAGGTAGCGAGCGACAAACAAACATAAGTGTAATGGGAAATGCTTATACGGATCAAAGACCGTATTTTTGGCCGAACGAAGCGTAGGTTTCTTCAACGGGCTTCGACAGCTGAAGAAGAGTTCCTCCAGCATCAAGCAACAGTCCATCATACGCTCTCTTAACCCTCATGCCTTCTCTCGTATTGAAGAAAAAAACAACGAATAAGAAAAGGAGAGATTTTTTGTGAACAGAAGAAATTCCCATTTCTCTTTGTCGATCCCGACCCATAAGAACCCTAATTTGCGAAACCCTCTCCGTATCCGACAAACACCAATCATTTATTTCCCTTGCCCGGGTTTTAAAATACCACGAAATCCGAGAGGAAAAGCCCGATTCGAAGGGGAAATTAGAGAACTTTCAGGACATTTTCTCGGGAAACAAACAGAGGGGAATCAGAAACGTACCGGTGGTGAAGGAGACAGCAGAAGAATCGAAGTGCCTGCGACAGAGAGCGAAAGGTTTCAGAGCTCTAACGAGAGGACTTCTCGTTGAACATTTCATCAGCCAAGCTTCCATTTTTCCTTCAAGCAAATCCCGACAAGACGAACTCGAATCCCTTGCAGTTACTAGTTACTACTTTGGTTATGCAGGTGAAGAAAGATCTCACATTCATTCTCTCACTCTAATTAGTTGAAATCTTTTTTCTTACCTTGTAAAATAGTTTATTAAATGTGATAAAACGATATTATATAGGAAAAATCTAAAAAAATTAATGAACTTGTACTAAAAAAAATTTTTAAACTTTTTATTTTATCAACTAAATATATATTTTTAAGTTTGACAAAATAAATATTTTATTCTTCTACCATTGTCAAAATAAATAAAATAATTAACGTATCAATACAAATACATTAAATTATTTTACTTAGTTTTTTTTACCATCGAAGAAAGTTAGCAGAAAAAATTATATATTTTTTTGAATAACTTAAAAATCCAGTATTTTTTTAGATTTATTTAGTTTAATATTTATTTGATAACAAATAAATTTAATATTTTTTTTGTTAAAATTGAAACATTTGGTATTTTTTTGGAATTTTTCGTGTTATATATAAAACTCAAACACGAAATTCAATCGTAGAGACTAGAGAGGTGAGAATGGCTAAAATGAACCAAACGCCGTCGACCTCACATGATTTTAAATCAAGAGAATTAGAAAATGGAAAAAAGAGTTTTTGAGAATTTTCAAAAAATTCACGCAAAATATTTATACAAACTCGTATCGAAACCATATCTAACCAATGTAAACCGAATATTAAACCAAATATTTTGATACTGTCGCTGAATTTCTATCTTAAACAAACCGATTACAGACCATTATAATGCATATGAAACATAAACCATGTATATAAGATACACTTTGAAGAAAAAAAAATTTAACCGGCTTGCCGCTTTTGATCATTTCTATGTATCCCACGTGGCGGCATATGATTCGTCGATTTTTTTGGTATAATCTGATTCGTCGATTTCATTCCATATCAGCATATCCTTTTGAATCTTCCCTCTCTCTTTCCGCGGCCGTCGTCGTCGTCGTTTTGGTCTTCTTCACGATGGAGAAAGAGAGAAGAGGGGCGAAATTTTTTTCACCCTGTTCATCGAGAAGAATGATGCCTTTTTCTTCTAGGTGGTTCTTTTCTCGTTTTCATTGGACCAGATTAGAGATGACGGGTTTTGCGATTTCGGATGAATTTATGGGTACATTTGTGCCGATTCTGGCGTATTGGGTTTATTCGGGGTTGCATGTTTACTTATGATCGACGAAGAGCTTCAGATTGCACACGAAAATCGACGAGGGCGAGAAGAATCTCGTCGTCAAGGGCGTGCTTCTTCAACAGATCGTACACGCGATCGTTTCGGTTCTTTTGTTCAAGGTATCTCCCTCTCCCACCAAAATTTGTTTTGTTTTATATGTTATTTGTATTCCTTTTCAGGGTTTGATTTCAAAGGGTGGAAACTGTTTCACTTCATAGAATTCTGATGCGTTTTACACTGGTTTCTCTTTTTGACGAAATTCTTAAATTTGCTGCTTGGCGTGGAAAACTGTGGTGACTTGAGTGTGATAGATGCATATAGGAGGAAGAATATGAGAGCTATTCAGGATTTCCATGTTTTGCCCTAAATTTGTTTCTGGGCATTATGAAAGGTGCATCGGTTCTCACTAGTAAATTTCAATGAAGAGTGAAATGTTGTTAGTAGATTATATGGGAGCTATTGAATCATGGCTGATTGATTGTGTTGCTGTAGAGTGTTATGGAAAGAGTGAAAGCCTTTCACTGAAAGGTTGGAGTTTTTGATGAAATTAAACTTGAATCACATGCTCAACGACCAAAGTGAAAGAAAGTGAACATTATTTTTCAAGAGAGCGGTTTCAGTGAAAGGGTTCTTCTTTTTGGTTGAGCTTTATATCACGTTCATAGGGCTTGCGTGTATAGTATATACATATATATGGATGTTTGTATATCAACTGCTTGTTTTCGCTTGGACCGAGCGAATAAGTGCCAGTGCCAGTGCCTGTGCCTAAGTTCAATGTGTTGAGCAAAACATAACTAGGGGTAGAAAAGAAATTCCTTTGTGTATGCTCTGGAATCAGGATGTCTTAACCTGATCAAGCTCTGATACGGCATACAAATTACAAAGTGTCTGAAAATTGGTGAATGCCATTCCTTTTTTTTTCTTCATGATTCATATCTGAAGCCTATAAATGGAAGAATAACCATTTCTTACTTTCCATGTAGTTATCCATTATGATGCCACAAATTTGTGCCTTTCTCTATGATGGAAGAAGCTATGTTTCTGGTAACTTAGATATGTTTCTCATAGAGTTTTCCAGCTCTGTTTTGTTTTGTGATTTGTGTGGTTTTTCATTAGTCACTAGGTTAGTGTTTGAAGCTTTTATAGTTTTTGGTAAAATGTTACATTGTATGCTCTATTAGGGTATATGTTGTATATTAATGCGTCATCTCTCCTCAATTTCATTCCTTTTTCCATAGCGTAGGATGTCCCAAGGAATTTTTCCTGAAATTTTATGTCTGGACTTTCGTGTTCTTTAGGCAGTTCATTATCGGGATGTTGGTCCTTGATACATGGCAATACTTCATATATCGCTATATGCACCATAACAAGTTCTTGTACAAGCACATCCACTCTCAACGACACTGCCTTGTCGTGCCCTATGCATTTGGATCTCTTGACAACAATCCGCTATAAGGGCTGCTTCTCTTGAACACCATTGGTGGCAATGACACTACAGTCCCCAAGAACCGCTATATTTTTCTTCTCCCGTGCTATGATCAAGACAGTGGATGATCACTGTGGGCGGGAAGTGGTCTGCCGGGAAATCCCTTTTACGTCTTCTTCAGTAACAATACTGCTTACTATGATGCTCACCGCCGACTTTATGGAACCAAATGCAACTTCTATCAGCCATTCTTTGTCGCGCGGGACAGAATTCTCGGTACATACTTGCCTTATTCACCCATGGAAAGAGCTGGTGGAGGCTTTGAAACACGACCAGCCAAAGAATTCAAAGATGAGTAAATTCTTTTTCTTTCTTATAACACTTTCTAGTTGCTTTTGCTGTTGCTACTTTCTAGTTAGAGAAATATAGCCTTACTGAATGTGAAAGCAGTTCCAAATTTCCATGTTTAAGACAGGCACATGTTTGTGTACATTCATCTTGTAGTACCACTCGTATTAGCTAAAACTCAGGGTTTCCCATCTGTATTATCTGCTTAGAAATTGAGATGGAGACTCAATGAAAGTCTCATTCATCCCCTTTATTAGGAACCTAAATTCCTGGTTGCAGAAAAAGCCAGAATGAGAATGACAGGAACATGAAAAACTTTCCACATGAAATGTGCCCTTTTTCTTCACCTCGTAGTTCTTTATGCTTTCACTGTTGATCTCTTTCAAGTTAGAACCCTAGGACAATACAAGTGATTGCTCAATTATTGCCTTTATCTTGAAAAAGTGGTCCTTTGAGAATGATACAGTACTTATCTCCAGGAACCATAATATCTTAGTTTTATCCATTAGGTCACCCAAACTTGGATAAAATCTTAGGTTTTTCCATACTGTAGGTTGACATCTCTAGATAATCTGGCTTATTCAGTGATACCGGTATCCGATACTGTCTTCTGATGACAGATAATCTTGGCTTATCCAACATTTACTTCTTGTTGTTGGATTCTTTCTTGAATAAAAACATGTCTTGATCTTGTACTTTGAACTTAAAGTTTTGTCCAAGTCTTTCTCAAAGCCTAACCCTCTTTATGAGTTGGCTATTGAGACATACATCTTCTCGCAATTATTATCCGAACAAACTTTCAGGTTTTCAGAGTTTCACATCACAGTTGTGAGCAATTGTGATTTTGTCCCCTTTGGCTTTATCTCTTGACACTTGTGGCTGTGAGGTGATTTCAGGACCAAGATCTTGGATCGTTACACGTTAGGTAAAAGGACACTGTCACCGATTAAATTTCCTCATTCATATCTCTCTTTGGCATCTTTCCGTTCTTGACATCGATGTGAAATAACTGTGGCCCATTTTCTTTAGTCTCTCATGTCTGATGCAGTTTTTCAGTGTCTTATATCACACTTTAGCAAAACTTTTTGGTCAGATGCCATTAGAATCTGATTTCTGGTTGCATGTTTGGGCGTATAATTATCATCTTCTCTAACTTCACATGCAATTGCACTCTTTGATACCCTTCATTGTCATTAGTTGTGCAATGTCAATTGCAATTCATTCTTGGCTCTCTTTCTGAAATTTCACGCAATATACTGAATTCCTGGACCACATCATTTACCCTTTTGGTTACAAGGGTTTTCATAATTGATGATGGAGTAGTAGTGTTTTTTTTGCTAGGTTATAGTTTGGAACAGGAAATCATGGCATCATACCAACATGTTTCATCGTATTAAACTTGTAGTACAGGAATCTTCACTTACAACACACACATACAAACTGAAAAGCATATACGAATATATATATATATATAGGATAACTGTAACTGATGATATATATATATATATATATATATATATATATATATATATAAACATCATCACTAGATGTACAGAAGATGTGAAGCAGACCCTGGTGACTGTGAATGAGAAATTAAACTGCTGCCACTCATCTTCCTCCTTGCTTCTGTTGGGAACCTTGGAACATAACTTGGTGTTGTGTTCATGGTTCTGTAAGAATCTCCAGAAACTCTTACAGATTTATGACTCTTGCATCCTAACAAGAGCCCACTGCTGGATTTTCGATTCGATTTTGCATTTGGGATTCTTCTAGGAATCTGAATCGATCTGTTTCTGATAGGACTCGTTGCACAGTCTGACATAACCGAGAAATCTGCTGCACTTGCTGTTACCACGCTCCACTCTATGCTTACCTCGCTCGGAGCATAACACGTCGGAGAAACTGGGTCGCTTCCTTGTCTTGCAAGGTAGGGTTTTGGTTTCCCGGTTAGGCTTCCGATCTCGAAAAGATCCGAACTTGCATCACTCCCACTGTCGTCTTCCTCTGAACACTTCACAGAGAATCCATTTTCTTCTGTTCTTGTAGAGCTTGTCTCCCATGGAAGCATTGCTAGTTTCTTCTGGACGGTCCTCTTTTCCAGTATAGGTGACCCGAAAACTTCCCGAGACTTCCTGTGGATTGTTTCTTCTTCCTG